GCTGGGTGCAGGCTAAGGGACCATTTCCAGCCATTACCCGCCATCCAGGCAATAACCTGCAGATTGCACACACCAAGCTACCTGCACTAGGTGTATTACTCAAAATGACCACCCAAATTTCACAAAAATTATTAATTTTACTTGAAAAGATAAGCTTCCCACTCAGTAAGGGGAAATATAAAGGATGTAAGAATTTTAAATTATCTGACTATGCAGGCGACCTGTGATAATACCTAAAATATTGTGATTTCCAACAACATGTTGAGAGGACAATTTCTTTTGCTAAAATATGGCACAATCGGCACAGTTGAATGCAGAAGTTTACCCGTGAACAAAGAAAAATAAGTTGCTTTTCAGCTGCATGGAGCACGCTCAGGACAGCAGGACACCAACACTTGTAGAAAAAAAGCTGCTCTACACTAATAAAATCACATTTTGTTGAAAAGAGGTTCTCTGAAACCACTTTTATAACTTTCATGTTTTCCCTGCAATTATTCCAAGGAATCTGTTTCCCAAACCACCACCTTTTCCCTATTTCCTCGGCTCTGCTCTTTCTTTTATTTCACAGGCTCTCCAGCTTGTCAGGCACTGGACAACTCCACGGTTCAGAACAAACACGTATTAAGCTTTTTTTGCAATTAATATGTTATGGAAACTTCCCTATCCAACCATCTAGAAGCCGAGTGGCAGTTATACTCGTACCATCTGAGCTGGGACCCTTAACAGTCTATTTGCCCGATAACCTGCGGTCTTCCTGCTGAGTCATCAGCTCTTGCTGTGTCTCTGAGTGGCCAGTCACCTGGATAGCACCTGGGTGGGTGCCAGGTCATGGCTTGTTGCTTGGGGCTCCTGCTATTTCTCTCCATCCAGGGTGCAATCTGCAGCTTGTACTGCAGCCGCTTACTGAGCTACCTGCACTGGGTGCAGTCCTCAATAATATTGATTTCAAATCCTTGTGGATAAGTTTAAACATTTGCAAAAATGTTTTTTTCTCATTTTATTGTACCCTGTGAAAGACGATTATAGCTAAAGGCAAAAGTAAAATAGGTTTAGGTGTTATAATTTAAAAAGTAGAACTGTACTTAAAGAGTATGTGCGTAAGTGTTCGAATACTTTCATACTGAAAATTGTGGGAATGCAAATTCATCATGACACTGTAGAAATGAGAAGAGATTTCAGCAAGAAGCCATGGGATTTAAGCAAAAGCAAGGAAGAACTGTTTGCACTCGCTGATTGAAGTCTTGCACCATCTGTGATAAGCAAGACAAACAAATAGTCTTGTAAACAACATGTGATAGCTCTCTTTATGGCTTTGTTTTGCCCCATCAGTGGTTGTAACCATTATGGAAAACTGCTTGCTTATCTGTTTAATGGAAAAATACCCTTTGTGTGTCCCTGCCCCCAAACCCTGGCTAGGAACGGAATGTAAAAGTACAAAGCATGCATGCCCCTTCCCCAAACCCTATATATACTAAAGGTTGTAATCAATAAACGATTCAGTTTGTCCATACAACCTGGGTCCATGCCATAGTCGTTACAGAAAATATTGTTATATTGCAAGTCCAACTGGACCACCTGTGCTGGTTTAAAAGTTAACCAGCAAGGCAAAATGAACTCAATTCAAAAGAGAGATTTATAAGTCAGAATAACAATTTATTAAAATAATGCAATAAGTACAAGTATACAGACAGACAATTGGTTTTAACCCACAAAACCCAAATGTACAAACCCAGCACCCTGGGGTATGAACAAAAGTGGTGTACCTTGGCCCACCCCCCGAGTCCAAAGCAAAGGGAGAGGGGATAAAACCTGCTGGTGGGAGAGCTGCTGCAGTCTGGTCAGAAGTGGTGATTGCAGTCCAGTTGAGGGTGGTGGTCTCAGCCTGGTTGGGAGCAGCGGTGGTCTGCTGTCTTCCTCTGGGTCCCACGAGAGAGAGCGCCCCAAGGCTCTGAAACTCCCAGTTATATACTCTCCAGTTCAGGCGGGAGTGCTCAGTCCCTCCCTCAGAGTAGAGAATTCCAAAAAAGGGCATGTGGATGCTCAGTCCCTCTTATCAGAGCGGGGAATTCCATATAAGGATATCAGAGCGGGGAATTCCATAAAAGGGTACAGGAACATCTTCCCACCTTGCAGGCCTCTACTGACAGCAGTTTTTGGGAAATGGCATGGAGGCTATAGAATACACAGTTTTGGGTTACACCCATCCAGGGATGAATTGGTCCCAGCCGTTCTAACCAGGACACCACCGATAACCTCAAACCTACCATTCCCACTGCCTCACTTAACACCAGCAACCTTTCCCTCTTCTTTGCCCTTAGTAAAAGGGGGAAACAGTTATATACTCCAGAGAGCTATGGATAATAATCAGGATGGAGAAGGCTCATTTGTATTTTGGCATGTTATCCTGTGTGATTGTGTGCACAGAAAGCTAGATCAGGTAAACAAGGTCAGTCTAAATGGGTATGGCTTGTTAAACATTGATCTGATTTGATTTCCGAAGTCTTCATTGTTTACTTCAAACAAGCAGCTGACTCAGAGCAATGTAAATCCTGCTCCTTTTTTGTGATGATGAAGGTCCTAATTGCAGTTGGATTTATCATTTGAGTAAGTGTGAAAAGCATAATCAAAAAAAAGATATCCAGGCTCTGGTTTCTGACTCAAATACAAGGATGACAACAATAATCCTTTATTACTTCAGCTATTCTTGAATTCTTGTCCTCAAAAACTGCAGATTTTTCTGCCATTCAGTCAGGATGTTTTTGAATTCTTGATCTGCATTTCACTGTTTGGTTAATGAAACATTATATGGTAGAGTAGGTTATATACTCTCAGCATAAATTTCTATATCATCCATTTAACTTTTGTTAGCACAGTGCATGCCTAGACATTTCCCTTCTTTCTATAACACAGCTCCCCTTCTAATTTTCCTTCCCATTCCCACAGAGTTGTCACCTTACATTGCTCATGACCCCACAGTCACAATACCCTATGAGAAGCCAGGTAGGTCTTTAAATCCTCAACCTGACTCTCAGACCACTAAATTTAATTCCTAACAGTGAAGGTCCAGTTTAGACATTGAATTATCTCCCTTTGTTCCTATATTATACCTCTGTGACTATTTCCTAGGCAGGCTTTTCTAAGCGTACTTCTCTGCATTACATTTCTGTTACTGTCAAATAGCCTGAAGCCTTGATTTCACCTCTCCATAATCTGGTACAGCACTTAGTCATACAATGAGGTCTTATAAGGAGATATCTTCTGCTTTCATTCAGCTGATAGTCATCTGCTCCTCTATTCTTTTTAATGTAATGTTAAGCAACAGTCATCTGCTCCTCTATTATTTTTAATGTAATGTTAAGCAACCCTAACTCTGCAATTAAGGCTTGACCGCCTTGTTCAGAGCCAAGATTAACGCAGGAACCTAGTTTTTCCTGGGTCTCAGACCTTCACCCTATATACATTCACCAACAGTCAAGTTCTTCTGAATGTCAGAATCAGAACTGAAATGCCAGCTCAGTTTCAGATGTCATGATATTGCACGTGACCTACTTGTCAGGCAATATTGCAGCATGAAGTCTTTGTGTCGTGGTTTGGGAATGGTATTCTCCAATTCCATGTTCCCACTGAAATCACACTGCTGCTTGCTCCCCCCTTTAATCTCCTTGGAGAGAATTGGAGGCACAAAAGGCAAAGATGATAGGTTGAGATAAGAACAATTCACTGGAAGCAGCAATGAAATAAGAAAACAAACAGTAACAGCAACGATATTAATAACAAAAGTGTAAAAAAGAGAGAGTGATTCACATGCAAAAATGCTCACTGCAGAGCTCAGAACCTGACTGCAACCTGAAGAGAGTCCTTCCTTCCGGAAAGAGACTGCCTTTCCCCCACCCCCAGCAATGACTTGAGGTGGTATAGAATAACCTTGGGGTTCTAGCCATGCCCCTTCCTGACTACTGCAAAAAATTAACCTTGTCCTGGCTGGAACCTGGCCTTGTAACCCAATATCCAGGAACAAGCAGTACTTGGGCAGAATCTTCCAACTGTATATCTAGTATATTTTCAGTGCTGAATCGGTCAGGACCGATTAATAGAGTCTTTTAAAGTTTTCCTGTCTACAACATAAAGGAAAATCCTAAATCAGGAATAAGTAATGCCAGTACAGTTCTCTCTGAGTTGTGTTTAATCTGCATCATCACTTTGTAACATTCAAGAGATTTCATAGCCAGAGAAGTTCCTTCTATATTATACACCTTAGCTACCCACTTATGTGAGGTATGGCATGCTCAGAATGCCATCCTGTAACTCTGTGAAATACTGCACCATAGAGGTAAATTATTTTGCTGTTTTGATCTGCACTGCCCATGATGATGGCAAATGCCCCCCATCCTTTTAATTGTGAGAAGGGGATTTTTCCCCTTCTAAGTGATCATAAATCACCATGAAACTTGTATTATAAATGGGATGTCCTATCTTTATCCTCATTTCTACATATTTATCACGTGTTTCTAATAATTCATATGGTCACAGTCATGGTCGGTTGGTGCTACGTCACAATGCATCACACATTTTTGTTCAAACTTAGGTCAGTTATTCCAAATCCCAAGCCATATCTTTAGTTCCTGATCTTCTTGTGTGAAGCAAAGAGTGTTGAAGGTTTAATAACATTTTTCATATCCTATTTCTACGATTTGACACAAATCGCTTCTTAACCACTGTAGTGAACTTCAGCTGGCTTTGTGACACATAAAACTTTTTATGCTTGAAATAATACTAAGGCCACAAAGCCTTCCATTCATTTAAGTCTGCATAAACTATTCAATAAGACTGAATTTCTTTAAGTGATTTTTCCAATTAAGTACTATAGTCCTTCAGTTTAGTACAGCACATGAAATTTAATAATACGGCAGACATAATATGAGATTAAAAGACTTATTAAATGTGTGTATTTCTACAGTAGATCTAGAAATCAACCAGTTAAAAATGAAAAAACTACTTACGGGCAAATAGTGAAAGTGGTTGTGGATGTTTGACACCTGTCTCATTTGCAACTGAAAGGAGAAAATACAGAGAAATAAAAAGCATTAAATTTAAATTTTATGTTAAGATTAATGATAATGCGAATTTTTATGCATCTATAGGAGAGAAGACTGTTCACAGTAACACCAGTTGCATTAGTGAGTACAGTAAAAAAAAGTAAGATTAATCCATCTATATAAATGAAATGTCCCACTATTTTGGAAGCCCAGAGGATGATTTAGTAGCAAATTGAATGAAATTAAAGGATCTGTGCAAAGGAATCCTCTGACATTTGGAACTGCATGTAGATACCACCTAGGATAAAAACTGTACAAGTCCCGTGCTTTTTTCCTGCCTTAGATTTATACTGGCATAGGTCAACATTTCTCTGACCCAGATGGTACACAGTCAAGAACATAAACAATTCCGTGGGGTTCTCATGAAACAGAGCAAAGCCTGAAGAAGTTAATGCAGTACAGCGAAAATAGGCTCAAAGAGCTCAAAGACAGGGGAGATAAGGAAAAGGAGATGAGTCAAGACCTAGGCACTGTTGCCAAATATCAGGAACTCCTGCCAAATACACAGGGAAATCATCCAAATTAGAAAGAGTTCAAAAGTTTATGGCGATGAGGAGAAGGAAAACTGACCCCCGCGAGGCTGAAGAACAAGATGTACCACCAAAACTCTCCCCAAATTGAAGACCGTGCCCCCAGCTCCGCCTCAACTCTGCCTGTTATCAATATTATAACTAGATATTGCAATATTATGAATATTAATGGAGAGTGATGTAATCTCTTAGTAAAAACAGTATAAACAGACAAATGTGAGCTGCATGCTTCAGAGCAGTTTGTCCAGGGCGACCTGGCTGCTCTCCGACGTTGTTTGAATAAATACCTCCTGCTTATAGATTAAAACTTTGTCTCTGAGCAGTCCTTCAGTGCCTTTTTGGGGCAAAATTTTGGCATCACTCACAATATTAACTACAGCTGAAAAAGAGGAAAGTTTTCTAGGAGAGGAATTACCATCCACTCAGGACTTTTTTTTTCCTAGAGCTAGAATAATCATAAGGAAGAACATTGATAAGCATATTATAAGTTCACACAGACACCTTGCCAATTCTTTGCTTTCTTTTAAAATGCTGTTTTCTATATACAAGACACGCCAAGCTAAGAAGTCTCATAAAAGGATGCAAACTATGACAGGAACTGAGAGTCACAGGTTCCTAGCAAGATAATGTCAACTAAACAATAATGGACTTTCTGAAGTCAGAAAAGACTTTGATGAAATTTATTTCTTCTGTCAAGGCTTAAGGTTCTCAATTTAAGTTTGGTTTTATTTAAGGCCCATATCCAGTGTCACTGAAGCTTTCTTACTTCCTCTTCAATCTCTACCTGCTGATTAAGATGGCTCTAGCACTCACTTTAGTGAACAGAGAGGCTTTTAATAAATCACTGTCTCATTTTGCCCCCATTAACCAGCAGACAGTGCCTTTACTACACCAAGTGCCTCTGTATCAGCCTGAAGAACTTGCCAGGTTGCCTGGAGCAAAGGCCCTGACATCTTTCAAGGCCTGCAAGGTGCCCTTCCTTGGCTTAAGTCTGTCACAGAAACTGTAGCACAAACACCAACCGCATAAGCTCTGCTGGGACATTGTGTGCAGACACTGGAGTGACTGCACAGAGTTATGCATGTGATAAGTAAAATGAATAATTTGTTCATCAAATGAATTCTTAATTAGTAAAGGTTGTAATGAGTTAGAAATAAGAATGAGTTAATTGAGAGAGTTAAGCTTATTGTTTAAGCTACTATTCCAGTGGTTCAACAGTTGCAGGATTTGTCAGGTACTCTGCTGTTTTATAATACCTGTTCTCAGCATGTTTGCAGAGAGCAAAAGTTATGAAAGATTAACTCCAATGTTAATGAAAAAGTAGTCCACAACCACTTTTGGGAAAAGCCCCAACATGGCCGATCGATCGTGAGGATAGGAGCAGCCGTCGTCTTCTGTCAGCAACAAGACTAAAAAGCCTGTGGGAGGGAAATCCAATAGTGGGAAAGCCCGCAAACTGAGAACCAGTGTGGATGAAGCCCACGAAGCAGGGACCAAACACAACCGAACTCGCGAAATTAGAACCAATAATGGACTGACATGACTGAGAGGAAGGTTGTCACAAAGGGTATAAAGGAGAGGCTTTCGACCGTTGTGGGTGTGGACCGTGGCAAGGCAGGGGTCCTTCCGGTCACCCAGTGCGCTGATTTACTTATTTGCCATTTTCAATAAATCCTTTATTGTTTTCCAAAATTTATCTGAGTCATTTGATTATATCATGCAGGTCCAGAGTGGTTCATAGTTTCAGAGTCAAAACTAGCTCTGCTTCAGGTGATGGCATGGTGAAGGAGAGTGTAAGACTACACTTCCTTTTGGAAGAATTTGTAACAAAGAGTTTCACTTGTTTTCACTTAGGAAGTCTTTCCCGCCTAAGAGTATTTTTCTCAAATATAGTTGGATGTTTTTCTTTCCCTTCTCAATTTGCATCCCAGAGAAAGCTGCAGGCTCTCTCTTTCCCTGGAAGGCAGAGAGATAAACAGATGTTACAGGCAGGCACAGCAGAGAGGGCCTGGAGGAGAAGATAAGGGGTCTTCAAGAGAACAGGAGGTGTGTTTTGCTGAGGCCCAGTGCTTTCAGAGTTGGTGCAGGATTTCTTTGTAAATTTTTAGTGTTCTCGACTTCAGAATAAACCTTTGTATTCTTTCCACTGCCTTGGCATTTTTGGGGATACCTGCGTGTACCATACCACACAGAGAGGTAGCAGCATCCTTCATGGGGCTGGTATCAAAACAGTTGGATCCAGTGACATCAAGAACCATGCCTGAAAATACTGCTATAGCCAATATGTACAGGTCAAGCAGTCAGGCTTTGTCTTTAACTCAGAGACAGGGGGTAGGCTAAGAAATTGCCTGCCAGACTGGTGTCTTCTGGGCTCCAATGTATCTCTATCACAGCAGAGACTGGTCAAATTCATAATATGCACTGACATCTAAATTGGAGCATCAAGTGAACTATTAGATTACCGAGAAAAGGATCTACTAAGGGCCTTTTAACTGTGCTATTATTTGCTTTAGAGTAGTTCATCCACTTTGCTAGCAGATGGCACTCTCTGGTCACCAGGGACTTCAGGTGCATGGGTCTCTGTGGGAACAAGTTAAGCTAGCAGCACCTGCATTCGGTTAATTAGAATCAAAAGGGATTGTTGTGGCCTTGGAGCTGAGGAATGTGCGAATCAAAACATTGAGTTTGCAAAAAATCCTGGAAATTCTAGTTAACTGAATGATAACACCAGGTGCTGTTTACCAAAACAACCTTAATAAAAGGGGAATGCAGAGAGAGCTCTGTGGAGAATCCTGAAAACTGAATCATACCGTGTTCAGCCTCATTTCTTCAGCGCCCATATTTGCCATAGGTCTCAACTTTGTGCCACCTTGCAACAACAGTACTCCACCCAGCATCTGTGTTTGGGCAGCTCAGCTCCCAAATTCACAGCATCCAACACAACAGATGTCATTAACCCTCTAAAATTAAAAAAAAATTAAAAAAATTTTTAAAAAATTAAAAAATAATTTAAAAAAGAAAACAAAAAACAAAACAAAAAAACAACAACAACAACAACAACCAAAAAAAAAACACAAAAAAAACCCAAGGAAAACAAAACGTTTTGTTTTTCTGTTCCAGGGTGCATAAGTTTGTTTTCAGTTGGCAGTGCTTTCCAATGACACCAGATAGTGTCATATACAGAGTAATGCTCTTTCATCTGGAATACAGCCATGCAAAGCAAAGTGCAGGTAGTATAGCAAAGCAATGAGCAGGACAGAAAGCACAGGGCCTGGGAACTGTCCAGGACCAATGAGGTGTGTGCACAAATAAGGGAAAGGTTTCAGAAGCAAAGAGGATTTCTGCATTTGCTCTGTGTGAAAATCTTAGAAGATTTTACTTGATGCAGTTTTTAGTGTGGAAATTCTGCATATTTACCCTACCCTTGTCTTACAGGAGTCTTTGGAGACACAAATAACAGACATGTAAATAAGACTTTTTCTCCAGATGGCCTGAAATCTTCTCAACCCTGTGTTTATTCAAGTTTATTAATAGTAATAAGCTTTTGGACGAAAGCAGGTATGAATTAATAAAGCTGGAGAAAGAAGATGAATTTCTGAGAGAGCAAGTCACAATGCGTACCAAAAATATTATCTAGTATTTCCAAAGATTTCCTGTACCACCATCCCTTTAGATATGCTTATTCTCCAGCCATGCTCTACCCTTGTAAGCTGAAGTCTAGGCTGATTTTCATCTGATGAGATTATCAGCATGAAAACTGCAGATATTTACTTCATTCTTCTAAGTGGCTGACACCTTCAATTTCCATCCCACCATTTTATTTTTTTTTAAATATAAAACTATACACATTTGAAGTTATTTTCCACTCTAACCTAGAAGCAAATAAATCTTGGAAGGGTATAGTAAAGTGCAGGTATTTTGTAAGAAACTTCTAGTCCTTCAAAAAGACAGCCATGACAGGCAGGAGACATCATCCTCTAATCAACCCGTTACAGGAAAATATTCACAATGCTGTCTGTGCTATCTTGTCCAGGTAGACAACAAAATACCAGGCCTAGACATTTCAAAAGCTTTATGTTGTATCATAACTGCCTGGAAAGCCCAAAAGCCTCAAACTGCAATTATAAAAATATATCAGTTTTTTTATTAACATGGATCACTCACAGGCAGGTTCACTGCATGCCCACCTTATAGGCAGGCTTCATTTTTTAATGCATGCCCTATAAAACTATTTACTACAGTTTGCCACCTTTTTTTACAGACGGTATCCATTTCACCACTATGTCACCTCAGTCAATGTAGTTTTCAAAGATCCTTTGCCAAACTCCCAATACAATGCAAAGAAAAATATACCACTTCATAGTATTGACTCATCAACACTGATAGACAAAATATCTGTGTTTTGCCATTAAGTAGCTGAGAGGC